GTTAAGGCGTCTGGGAAGGGATCTCAAAACTGGATTATAGATGGCAGAGAGTTGGTGTCGTAAACCACCGCCTCTGTTCAAAGATGGTCGCTCACAGTGGACATAGATGGCTTGTTTTACACCAACACCAACTGCCTGCCTTGTTTGTAATCTCATCACTAAATCCAGTATCAGTGCCTTCATATGCATAAGATGGAAAACAATTAATTCTTACAAATGCAGGCCAAGAGTTGTCTGCTGAGAATAAAAATAGTTTTATTAACCGTTTACTACCCACTGGGTCCCTGATGACGTATCTAGCCAACTCAGGTGCCAGTGATTCTAAAAATCAAGCATGTAAATTCTGCTAACTCATTTTGCCTTCCAGACACTATTTTTTAAAGACATGCAAATTCTTCAACTTTCTATTAATCATTAACAAAAACAAAAAGAAAAAAAAATATTTAAGTAACTTTTCTTTAAGTTTTCTTAAAAAAACATAAAACCATTCACCACAATAACTTAAAGTTAACAGAGTTGTTCCTCCCACATTTCCAAATCTCGCTTCCCCAGCAGTGTAACAATAAGATACATTTTGATATTAGGACCAACTTGTTATACCGAATATTGTAGTGATCTATAATGCTCAGCATGTTCAGCAAGTCATAACATACACTGAATAAATGCTAAAACTTGAATAATACACGTGCATTAGTCACTCAGGATGGAAGAACTACGTATTCTAGAAATAAAGAGACAAAATAAAAGACAATAATAAACACAATAATTATGAAAGGTTTTTTGTGTGTGTGTGTGTGATTTCTGGCTTTAACATTACGTGTTTTTTTGTCTTTTCTTATTTTTTTAATATGCAGAGATTGTTTAACATATTTTCTAGAATAGGATCCCGTTTACTTGTGAAGTGTCAAAAAAACTACAGCAAAACCATAATAAATGAGATGAATATCAAACAAAACAAAAAAAATCACATATATCCAAATGTGCTTTAAGAAATTATAAAACTTTCAGTTTTTATGAGAGCAAGGAAAAAATCCCATTGTCTTTCCACTATTCAGTATGTATTAAAACATTGTTTAAGACACTGAGGCAGTGTGTATGAAAATCTGATCATTTTAAACTCAAAACTGCCAGAAGATTAAAATTCTACAAGCACCAGTAAAATTGTTATTTGTAAACAATTCTAAATAAAATTTAATTTTCAAACCCAAAGACAAGTTCAAAATTCATGTACGATCTTTCTCCCATATGTTGCTTGTTGTGTGATGAAATGGACACTCGGGGGAGCTGGTGGTGTATAATTTACTCAAACAGCCTGTGGAGGCGTTCCTTTCAGCAACAACTTGTGAAGAAAAGAACCAACTTCTCAAAGTATTTTTTATTTCATCCGCTTAATTGGAAGCGGCTCCCTCAGTGTCGACTATATACATTTAATTTTGTGAAATATACTGGAATATTTATAATTAGATTTATTTGTATTTATTAGAGCTCTTTTGTTATATTTTGTAACTGTATCAATTAATTAATGATTAATTATTATTAATAATAATGAATCCTAAAAATAATAATTACACATGGAATTATTTGGTACAGTTTTTTTGGCTCCTGGAAAATGTGAAACTTCCCAGAGTTTTGGATGCCAGGGGTTTAACAGCCATCTGTATGTGCTTATAATGACAAAACTAGAATAGATATCTGCTTAAAAGAGATTTGCTAAGCGCTAAGGTATTACTGAGGTCATAGTAGGTGGTGTTGTTATACCAGACCTCAGATATCAAAAACATTAAAAACCTAAAGATTTACGCTGACATAAGGGTTCACCTGAGAGTTAGTTATCTCCTCGTGGCTGCGTGCACACTCTGCTGCTTCCAGGAATGTACTATAAAAAGATACACATAAAAATGAACTCAACCAGAATGTTAAGATCATAAAATAAGAAGTATAAACCAGCAGAATTATTAACCAAAATGTTACTTGTTACAAGATGTTACATTTTTCTTTATGTATGTAATGCATGTGTTAAGTTGGAGTTTCATTTCACAGACATTTTGTTGACTTCCTGGTTCACACTCCAAAGGCACACAGTGAGCAAACAGACTGCTATAGTCCCTCCTCTCAGACCTAAAGGACTGCTTGAAGAGCTCAGGTGTGTCTTACACATAAAAGCAACTCAGATCCAAGTTCACTTGGACTTCATCTGAAACTTGTAAACTTGACAGTTTTTTCTTAAAGGTAACAATTCTTAAAAAACAACAACAATAAAAAACTATAATAACTGGTTATATCAGATGTAGTTTATCATAAGAGAGCAAATTAGATGACCAACATAGTAACACTAACTCTCTGAGTGAGTTTGTGTCTGGTAGAAAGGCACAACAGCAGCTACACATCTACAGACGAAAGTTTTTTACTCACCAAACTACTGCTGCGCTGGGGAGATCCGCTGACTTCTGGAAGGAAGCGGAAAGCAACTGAATGATACTGAGCGGGAGGAACCTGTAACCAAGAGAGACTTGATCTCATGGTAACCTATTAACCAATCACATGTGTAGAGGTCTTTTGGGGGCGTTTTTACTTTGCATGTTAAACGCTGGATGAGTGTGGGAATAAACCCACAATCGAGTTAAATGAATCAAAAAAAGTAATTTAAGCTTTGCACATGTCTGTGGCTCTTAGAACCACTGGTCTAGAGTTGTGTGTGCGGACAGGGGTGAAGAAAGAGAGGGAGATATTACATGATTTTATAATGTATAACCCTCTGTAAGAGGAATAAATGAATCAGTATGGTGTTTTCCTTCATTTACATGCTTGGCTGCAGTGTCCTGAGAGAGAACCTGGCACTCTGTGGATTACATCTTTCTCTTGGATGTGCTTTAACCCTTTAAAGCCTAGAGCAGGGGTCGGCAACCTGCGGCTCCGGAGCCGCATAGTCCTTATTTAGTCCTTATAGTGCGGCTCGGCATGGTTTGGGAGAATAAATTATAAGTATGTAGCTGAAGTGTATTTTATTTATTTTAGTTCTTTTTTAACTTGTGGTTCTAAATTGGAAGATTATTGTGATATTGAAATATAAAAATAAAATTATATTTTATTATTTTTTTCATCGCTCAAAATAAGCGTCACACTCGCGGAAGCCGGTGTACTCGCCGAAACGCCGTGCATTTATCGAGACTTTCAACCATTATTATTATGGATCTTCGGATCCACATTATGTCAGCAGCTATTTTCCACCGTGAACTATGTTAAAAACAAACACCGCTCACGCCTCACAGATGACAATAAAGATGAAATTGACTTCGTACAGCAGCGGTCTGCAGACGCTGTGCGCAAAGGTTCAGGAGCAGAAGTCCCATTAAACATATCATGTGTTGGGATTCAGAGATTCTTTTATTGCTACCATATAATTTGCCTTATGAAGAATGTATTAATAACATGTTTCACAGTATCATTTATCAGTAATATTTCCTACAGGGTTTATATTGCATTGAATATGTCTGTC